GGGAGGAAGGGAAGGAGGGAGAGAGAGAGATAGAGAGAAAGAGAGAAGGGGGGGAGTAGGGAATATGGGGGAGAGGGAGAAAATAGTAAGGAGGAGAACGAAATAGATAGATAGAGAGAGAGAGAGAGAGAGAGAGAGAGAGAGAGAGAGAGAGAGAGAGAGAGAGAGAGAGACAGGAAGGGATTGAAGAAGGAATGGGGGAACTAGAAAGTGAGAGAGAGAGAGAATGTGAGAATGAGAGACAGACAGACAGACAGATAGACAGACAGTCACACAGGCAGAGAGACTAGTAAGTAGATAGACAGACATAAATAAAAGAAAGACAAACAGAAAAAAAAACACAAAACAAAACACACACAGACTGACAAGCAGAGAGTACGTGTATGTCCACTGAGCATTCACCCAGATTTTCATTCCACTATCTCACGCAGCATTGCATAATCATCGCTTTTTTGTAAACCTTTGTTATTTTTTTCGAAGCAGGGTTTTGTTTAGGTGTCGTAGCAGTTTTATGCTTTTGAATTTTGAGGCAGGTCATTTTGAGAAAAAAAAAAGTATATTTTTGGGTCCGCCTCCCCCATCCCCCTCCTTTTTTCTTTGTCAGTCTTCCTTCTTCCTGTCTTTATCTCTGTCCTTTCTGTTCATCCTTCCGACCTGCTTCTCTCTTCACCTTTCTCCTTCCAAACTCCTAAATTATTCGTGAATTCGCCTGCATCCTTCGATCAATACGATTTTTTATAACTCTCTCTATATACTTCTTCTGCATAACTAAGCATGTATTTTTACTTCATCTCTTATTCATTCGTCTATCTACCAACTGCAATTAATGTTCACCCCTTTCCCCCTGCCATTTTCTGATAATAATAGAGCTAAAAGAATTAATAATTTACGGATAATGTCTAGAACACCCTGAAAGAAAACAGCAGTCGACTGTCTTGCATAACTCGGCTAACCTTTATCACATTTCTTCAAAAAGTAAGACAATATGGAGATATTTTTCCAACACAAGGCAGTCTTCGGCTTCTTCATCATATTTTCCCCCTTCAAAGAGCAATTTCCAACGAAAACAAAAGCTGGAAACTGGTCTCACGTGTTATTGTTTTCATACGATTCCTCCCAAACAAACGGGGCACCATCGTTCGCGTAGCAGGTATCCGCGTGTACACAGGAGAATCCGGTGGAATCCGGATACGCGCAGGCAAGATCGATAAGGAAGCAGAATAGCTTAGATTGCATTCAACGAGTGTGACGTCATGTTTATAGTTCACCAAACTTAACCAAAGGATGCTTATATAATTACATAGTTTTGAGAAAAAAAAATCTAACTGGAAAAAATGGAATGGCAGTTAGTTAAACGAACATCAGCGGAATTACCCTCCAAATTTCATTCCAAGATTCCCAGACGCTTCAGCATTCCCCTTGCAACTCTCGGAACGAAAACATAAACAAAAACAAAAAGAAAGAAAACGGCCTCATTATCAGTAACCTGCAGCCGGCACGGGGGGACTTAAGAATAATGAGTCCCTTGCCGTTTAAAGGCTACACATATACTGTTTAAGTGTTTTTGTTGGTTATTTAATGCGGCGGTTTCTCAGCACAGTTTCTTTATCCTCCTCGGAAAAATTACTTGAAGGTGGGGATGCAGTTAGCATATCTCTCCCTCTCACAGTCCCTCTCTACCACCTCCCTCCCCGCCCGTTTTGTGTTTGTGTGTTGCCCTGAAACTTATATAAACACATACACATGCACATATACCACCACACAACTATACGCACATACACAAACACACACACACACACAAAACACACATACACACACACACACACACACATAACAAACGCACACACACACACGCGCACACACACACACACACACACACAAACGCACACACACACACACACACACGAACAAACGCACACACGCGTTTTATATATCCTGCCATTACCATGCGAATGTATGTATGTTTTTATACTTTGGCATGTACACCCTCCACCATTATGCACACACAGTCACGATATTTCTCACTGCCCGATTTATATCAAAGACTTTTAATATATATATATATATATATATATATATATATATATATATATATATATATATATATATATATATATATATATATATATATATATTGCACTGTGTGTCATCAAGTTATATCCTGTTTACTTTTGTATGCTCTCCAAAAGTAAGTCGTCAAGGCATCTTTGTTTTCTTCACTATTCTCCAGTGTACACACACACACACACACACACACACACACACACACACACACACACACACACACACACACACACACACACACACACACACACACACACACACACACACACACACACACACACACACACACACACACACACACACACACACACACACACACACACACACACACACACATACATATATATATGTGTGTGTGTGCACGTTATAACAAACCATCACCCGGGTTGCATTTTGCCCTTGTTACCCTCGGTCATCAGGCATCAAGAAATGTGGATTATGACACCAGGCTAGTTAACACATACCAGGCCTTACACAGGTTCAAAACACGTCAATGCAACACTAGAAAACACAAAAAAAAAATCGTCAAATTACGTGATATATCTCAACATGCAAAATGTAACACCATTGGTAAAATAATATCTTAAGCTAGTTCACTGTGCAAAATTTAAAGACACACAAAGTAAAAATAGTGGAATTTTTTCATCGAAATATATTTAAACATTTTGATGAATAAAAGCCGACCCACCAGCTGCCTCAGACATAATAGATGATGTAGCTGGCACTTAATTAAAAAGAACTGCAGGACCCTGTGATAACTTAAATCGCCTGCAAGAAAACACATTACATATATATATTCTGACACGAAAACATGCATCCTTTATTTTCATTTCTCAACCTGATTATCAAGCCTCCTTCTTTCTTTTAAACAACGGCTCCCATTATCATCTTCTTCCGAATCCAAATCTACCTTGTTAATCCTTGTGGAATTCAGGAAACTGCGTCTTTCTGATGACAGACTTTTCGTAAAATACTGTTTCCGGTCATGCTAACACCGGAACATGTCATTTATACGTTTTCCATGTACACATATATTAAAATGTATACACGTTGCAGTACCTACCTATTGTCATGAAAGACAGACACAATTTGAAAGGAATAAAAACATGGCGTTTCGAATTCGTCAGGGGATCCTCATCAGACGTTATAAAAAGATCGACTTTTACGACGCCTGATGATAAACTCTGAGTTCAATTCAAAAACCTCATTTTTTCTTTCGATTCTATTGCTTTATTCTATCTGTGTATACATGCCATAAACATTATATTTTTTGTTTACCCACCGCCGTGTCTACACACTGCCTAGTATACACAATATCACTGCTATGTACACACACCCAGGCTTCACACACTGCCTCGTGCACAAAGCCGTACACAAGTCCCCTGCCCGTACACCACACCCACCCAGAGCAAGTGCTGAACGCGACCAAGATGTTCCTTCACGTTCTCGAGGCCAAGGTCTAGAGCCAAGGTCTACGTACCTATCTAGACCTTGCTCGAGGCTGCCACGTCCCCACACAACCGGCGTACACACTCCCCCTGCTCCTGTGTACACGCGAGATCAGCTGCAAGAGGGTTCTTCCAACTACTGTACATTACTCTGCCTTCGATCTGCAAAAGAACGTCTTTCTTCCGCTCTCTTTTTTTAACGTATAGTAGATATGTACCGTACTACCGTACTACCAAGCATGGCGCACGTACTTGTGAACATGTCGACTGTGCTTGTTACTTCTTTTCGTCTTTCATTTTCGTCTTTGAATTTCTCACCAGAGATCTTGGTCCTTCTAGGAAGACCCTCAGGTGTCCCGTGACGTCATACTCTTATGACGTCTTATCGTCGTGACGTCATGCTATTGTGATGTCATCTCTCTCTCTCTCACACTTTTTCCATGACGTCATATGCCATTTGTGACGTCATATTCACTCGGTGTCGCAGAAATTCACGCGAGAAGAACCTCTCATGGGGCGCATAAGGGTAAAATAGGTCAAAGAAGATTAGAATTAGAATGAAGGAGGAATAAAACAAAATGTAAGTAAAAGATATGAATAGGAAATTTTCAGATAGAATTAGCATTGAAGAACCTAGGGGGAAATCAGTACATAAAAGCATGTTGGGTGAACATATTCCAGTTAACATATGTATGCAGAATGAAAATATCATAGTAAATACGTAGATATGAGCATGGCAAGGCATGTGAGATTGGCAGATGATCAAAAGCAAGATTAGATACATAGAAGAGTAGATGGAATGAGTTAGGTATTATGGGGTGCATATACAGACATAGATGGGAAAACATAATTGAATTGATATTAGATAGAATAAATATAGGAGTAAGTACAAGTACGTGGATAAATGTAGGACGAGCTAAAAGGCCGAGAAAAAGTAGGAATGGACGTACAAATAGTTTAGAGAAATTAGATTACAAGGGAATGTATAAGTAAATAATGATAGTTGCAGTATTGTGGGATCTGGATTAGGAGGAAATGAACAAGTAAATGCTAACAGATGTAGAAATAGCTTAGAGGAAATAGCTTGTGAGGGAAAATATATATAAACAATGCTAGACGTAGTAGTTTTGAGATCTAGAATGAGAGGCCAAGTTTCTCGCGAGAGGTTCAGTGTAGATCTAAGCTCACTTCACTTCTCTCTTCGTTTTCATATTCAATTTAAAATGGAAAAAAATGTAAATTCAGTTTTATTCAGCCAAGTAAATGATTAATGACAAATTATGAGAAATCATAGTTTTAAAAAATGAAACGAGGCGAGAAGTCAACCCCCCAAAAAAAAAAAAAATCAGAAAAAAAGGAATCTGGACTCAATTGTGGACAAAAAAAAAAAAAAAAAAAAAAAAAAAAAAAAAAAAAAAACAGTCCCAAGACAGCCCAGTGCCTGGCCGCCCTCGGGAGACCAGCGGCTGACGGGAGAGAATTTCACAGGGACCACTACTTCACGGCGGTCACGTGGGTGGACTCCGGCACCGTCAGCGTCGTGTGGATGAACCGGGCGCAGAACACCTCCGTCATCACCATCTGCGGGCAGCCTCTCTACTTCTGCGAGGCGGTGAGTGCGGGCGGGCGAGGAGGGGCGGGCGAGGGCGGTTGTCTGGTTGTCTGGAGGACTGTGTATGCGTCTATCTGTCTATGTGGACACGCACATACGTATGTGTTTATGTGTGTGTTTGTGTGTGAGTGAGTGAGAGTTTGTGTGTGGTGGGGGGGGGGGTGAGTGTGTGTGTGTGTGTGTGTATGTGTGTGTGTGTGTGTGTGTGTGTGTTTGTCTGCGCGTGTGTGTGTACATATGTGTGTGTGTCCTTTCACCTATCATCTCTTAACTCAACGAATTCCCTTAGCCATTGCCTCATAGAATAAATAGACATTGCAACCAAGTCAGACCCAATGGCGGTGGCCTGTCATGTCTCATTTGAAAATATTGTGTCTAAAAATCATCTTTAAATGTTCACCTCTTAAAACTACTGAAAGCATGAGTTCTATTCATTCGATTAATCAAGATGAAATAAATGTTATGTTTCTTTAAGTAACAAAATGGTAAAGATACGAGTCATGATCATGATACCAATAGTGATTATGTTGATAATGATGATGAGGATGAGGATGATAATGACAATGAAGAGGAGAATGATAATGATAATGATTATAATAATAATAAAAATGATAGTAATGATAATAACGATAATGATAATAATAATCATAATAATGATAATATCAATAATAATAATAATATTAATAATAATGATAACAATAATGAATATAATAACAGTGATGGTGATAATGATAATAACAATTATGATGATAACATTTATAATAATAACGATAATGATAATAATAGCAATAATAATAACAATAATAACAACAACAACAGTAACACCGAT